AGTTGTAATGTTCATTATTATTATATTATATGCACTTTGCTTCGATTTTTAACAGACATGCTATTTTTTGTTTATAAATAGGTTTTCGAGGCTACTAGTAGATAATACATAAAACTTAAATATAAACGAAAAAATAAGAAATTTAGTCGATTAATGTAGCAAATACAACTTCACTAAATCCACAATGCCACAATATGTAATACGAGAAATGGCCTGGCTTTACGGGCCGGAATAAGTGAAATACTCAACCGATTGAGTCACGTAAAAGAAGTTTGAATCGAATTTAAGTCTCTTGATCCTTCATGTGACATAAAAAAAGTATAAAAAATAATTGAGCATAGATTACCTCCAATATCACTTTTCTTAGAAGCTTTTATTTGAAAATATAGTAAAGCAAAATTAATTTAGCATATCTACAATGTTTACATAATAAATATTTGTGATGCCTATTAATTGGTAATACAGTTACATAAAATTAAATAGAATATGGAATCTTAAAAGATACGAACTGTCTCACATATGTTGATCCGTGACGGCTTGCCAGTGAGTGAGACCAGAGCTAGAAGAGGTCTCAGTAGAGGTTTCCTGAAGATTTGCAACAAGAGTGGCCGGCTCTCCCCACTCAGAGCAAACCAAGAGCCGAGCACCATCTCGCGTGTGCTCTAGTCTACGTATAGAAGTGGTCTGGTGATGAAAAAGATCAACTGGGAGACCTTCTTCTTCTACGTTAAACCATGCTACAAGGCCTGACTGCGAGCCAAGAAAAAGTCCATCTCCAAAACGCTATGGAAAGAGACATATAAAAAATGGATGTCATTGCAATAAGATAAAAAGGAAATTAACGTGGGTTTTAGGAACATTAAATTAAAATAAAAAGGTCTATTTAATCAAGTGAACTTAAGAATGCAATGAATCATATATAGTTGTAGGAGAAAAAAGTGTTAAAATGATGAATGTAGCCAAGTGATAGTGATAAAAATTTTAAAATTGTAGGCTACGAAGAGCAGTTGGTGAGACTAATGAGATAATAAAATACGAATATTATTCAAAAAAAAAGCTAGATTACTGATAAATGTTCGAAAGAGGAAACGTAGATGTACATGAATAGTAGACTTAAATAAAATAATATAAAATAGAATTCTGATCATATTAATTTCCGATACTAATTCTAATTTTATAGTAATTAGACAGGTGTAATGAGTGCAAAAAATAATGATCATAAAAGAATATGATATGTCCACCCACACATACCTTCAATTTGGTTGTAAAGTGTAGCTTTAAAAAAATGATAACAATAGTATGAATTTCGACTGCATTTAGTATATTAGAACCACAAATATAACCAGAATAACTGGTACTTTAAAT